TTTTAGCTAGTACCTAGGCTGTTAGTATGGTAAGTTACAACAAACAATTTATTATTCGAGTACAGCGATTTCTAATCGATTACAACATAAGTACATTAATATTTATCATAAGGATGCACGAACACTCCGTATAGTATGTCGCTCTCAGAGAAATAATACATACATACTACTTAAAGTGTTATCTACTGATGCGTTCGGTGTAGACGGTCACCAAAAGCAAAACTGGTTATGCATAAGTTCTACACTAAGCAGTTCTCAACGCCAATAAGGTGAATGACACAGTAAGTTTCAATGAACATTCGTTGAGACAATTTGCGAGCACAATATGATTACCAAGAACATACCAGTTTTCACCCCCTGCCTACCAAAGCACGATGATCAAAAGGCGAGTCGCTCGTGATCGTATATTTAAATAAAAATGTCAGATAAGACCCATAACCAGTTTTCCCACTTCCCTAGCCCGAGAAGATGCCCAGCACCAGAAGATCTACTTCGTAAACTCGAATTCAATAAGGTAGGGCGAGGAACCTCCCATTGCGCCTGTAGCTCCGAGACTGCGGAAGAACTCCTTCGCGTTGCAAGGTTTTCGAATGCAGATTTTGTCCACAATACGGATCCAAAGGAACTTTATTTTCTAAAACGACGAGAGGCAGAAAAAAGAGTTAGTTAGGCGTGTGCACACGCGAAGCGTAAATCACAGAACGGCTTACGTTCGAACGGATCTTGACGACTAAAACCGCTGGCGTCTGACCACCGAGCGGCTGTTAAGTTTCTGACCAATCGGAGATATCCACAAACTAGCCAATCAATTTTAAGACCCCCACTGGGATGCCTCGCTCAAGGCAAGACCATGGCTTTAGCTGCGACAACAGTGTCTCCAAATGCACAAACTCGCAAAGAAACGCAGTCTGCTTAAACATGTTAACAGCAATCTCATTTGGGACGCTAGATTTGACCACGACGTACGCCTGATCAGCCCCCCAGGCGACATTCCCGTACTCAACTTTAACTGGTTGATAGCAGAGTGTAACCAGAAGGTGTTCACTGTTCTGAAATGGTTGAATGAAAACTGCAAACGCCAACTAACAAAGGTAGACCTGACTTAGCACAACGAAGTAATAAATGGTATTTGCCAAGCGGTCTGAGACATCGGTTTCTTATCGTGGAGTTGAAAGGGAGAGTCTCCCATCAGGTAAGGCTCAAGCGTGCAGTGCAACCATTATAACCAATGATGCGCCTTTTCTAATTTCCAAAATATACGACGAGTCCGTGGCTCAATGGCCAAGGAATCATACGAATCCGGAGTTGGCGATGGCTGGTTGAAACGAACTGAAAAGTCAGGCAAAAGTAGCTTATGTAGGCCCACTCATATACCCATAGTCCCAGCATTTT